TTTTTCTAAATTTAAATTTAATAAAATATCAAAAGATAAAAAAGATATAATATATTATATTTTTATTTTAAATTTATAAATATTTATTATTTTTTTATTTTTAATATATAATATTATTAAATTTGCTAATATAATTTATATCTTGTAATTATTTTAGTAGAAAAAATTGAATTTTTTATATTTACCATTAATATATCTAATAATATGATCTATATTATTAAGTTTTAATATATAAAAATTTAATAAAATTAATAAATTAATAAATTACAAAAATATTAAATAAATTCGATATATTAACCTTTTATATTTCTTGAAATATGTGCTATATTTTAAATATAATAATATTTAATATTTAAAAGTTTGTGTATTTTATAAATTATAATTATATTTACCTTTATCATTTAAATTAAATTCTAATTTGATAAAATTTAAATGTTTTAAATTTTTAAAGAGTAAAAAATTAAAAATTATAAATAAATTATAATTATAATTTATTATATTTACCTTTATTACTCAAAGTGGATTCTATATTATAAATTGGTAAATTTAATATTTAGTAACAAAAATCAATCAAATTATTAATTTATAATATTTACTTTATTATTTCAATATTTTAATAACATTTAATATTATAATTTTACAAATTTATATAAATATAATTATATTTACCTTTAAAACATCTTAAAATGCATTCTATGTTTCAAATTTTAATGAACAAAAATCAAATACAATTATTAAATATAATAAAATTTAATAAAATTTATAATTACCTTCAATATGCTTTGAGATGTTTTCTATATTTCAAATTTGATAAATTTTAATAATTTATTTTTTAGTAAAAAAAATTTGATATTATTAATAAATTATAGATATATTTAATAATATAACATGTATTTATATATACCATCATCATATATTTCCTTTATACAATAAATTTCTCCTTGATATCTTAACGCAAATTTATTATTTGCCTCAAATTCTAGCAACTTTATCAAATCTGCAAATGCTTGCTTATATTCACCAATAACAAAATACAATTTTACTCGGTATTTTAGTAGCTTAATATTTTGTTCAGTTTCTGATGATTGTACTAAACCTGAAAATTTATTAATCTGTAGACTTATTAATTTATCATTGTATGGATTAAGTATTTCTGCCCAATTATTCTTTAAAGATTCATCAATATCATCATCATTC